AAAAAAAAATGTTGATGGATTTTGTTAAAAGATAGATAAAAGTTGCGAATTCTATGAAATATATGATTAAGAATTAAATTTGATAAACTTTTAAACAAATAAAAGGTTTGCCAAAGAAGCACTCAATGAATTACGAAATAGTTGTTTGTCTATCTTATTTAAATCTCATGAAAGTGTGTGAGAGAGGGACGCAGAGTGAGCACGAACGATTTACTTATTTATGAATAACATCATCAATACAGAAGCACTTAAAAGTTCGAGAAATTACAATACCATTTAAATACATCCAAACCAAGAGGAAAAAGGGAAAATGATAGGGGTACAATTTAAAGAAACCCTATCTCCAGAGGGAATTCATATGTACAGCTTTGAAGGTCCTCTCCACTTTGATGCATTTGTGAGAATGAAATGCACGATATTCTTAATTATTGCTCCTGAAAGATCCCAGTGCCTTAATGGCTGCTGCCCTTAGAATGTATTGGTGGTAGAATGCAGCAATGGCAGCTCCAATAAATGGCCCAACCCAGAAAATCCACTGCATATTTATTTAAACAAAAGTAATAACATATGTTAGTCTCAAAAACCTTATCCAAAAGTTCAAGTTGTTAAACAACAGATAAACTTCTTTAAATTATGTATTCAACACAACCTCGTTTATCTTTTTTATCAAATATTCCACACATCTACCCTTCATAAACAAGTGAAAACAAGACATGAAATAATTATTTATATAAGCCCCTCTTCGGTAATTCTTTCATTACTCTACTTTCCCCATATTCATTTTCGAGCATACATTCTCACAATAAAATATTATTCATATAAACCCAAGACATTTTTTACTTTTTAATCACGCATTCTCCAAAAAGTTACTATTCAAAAATACATTCTTTCCAAAAAAAAAAAAAAAAGACCGTCAAAACAGGGCCTAAAGAAGTAAAAAAGAGCATACATGGTCATCCCAGGGCTTGTCTTTGTTGTAGATGACAGCAGCTCCAAAGCTCCTAGCAGGGTTGATGCCAGTTCCAGTGATGGGGATGGTGGCCAGGTGAACCATGAAAACAGCAAATCCAATGGGAAGTGGAGCCAACACCTTCATATATGTAAGATTTAAATCAATATTTTCAAGACTATAACCAAAAATTTTACCAGAGTTTGGGTTAGAAGAGAAAAAAAATTGCTTACGGGAACATGGGAATCTCTGGCATTCCTCTTAGGATCAGTGGCTGAGAAGACAGTGTAAACCAAAACAAATGTGCCAATAATTTCAGCACCCAATCCAACACCTTTGTTGTAACCTGGAGCAAGCTCATTTGCTCCACCACCGTACAGGTTGTAATAAGATTTTTGGAATGCTTTCACCAAACCCACACCACAGATTGCACCCAAACACTGTGCTACCATGTACATCACTGCTCTGATCAGTGACACCTTTCGTCCCAAGAACAGCCCGAATGTCACAGCCGGGTTAATGTGTCCTCCTGTCACATTATCAAAAAGTTACTTATTTCACCAGTAAGTCACTCATCAAAATCTATAAGGAAAAAAGCTTGTAAAGACTTTTAAAACTGACCAGAGATACCGGCGGTGCAGTAAACAAGAATGAAAATCATGCCACCGAAAGCCCATGCAATGCCTAGAATCCCGACGCCGCCGCACTGATCGCCGCCGTGAGCGGGGTCAATCTGGCTTTTGTATCCAATAACAGTCAAAACTGTGACGTAGAGGAACAGTAAAGTGGCAATGAACTCAGCAATAAGTGCTCTGTAAAATGACCAGCTGCTCAGCTCTTCAAAATCAATGAGCGGCGCCGGTGGTGGATCATGGTAGTCCTTGGCCGAGAATTCCGCCGGCTCCCCGTGAGATTCAACGTCTTTCGTCATTGGCGAGTGTGTGTTTTGGGACGAAGGTGGTATCCTCAATATTGTGTAAAATGTTGTGATAGAGGATTGGTATTTATGATTATTGTGTGGGGGTAATTAATTATTAATTATTATTAAAACCATAATTTAAGTTAATGTTATAATTAGCCGCCCAATAAAAATTAATGAGGATTTCTTCGCTTGCATGGACCCACCTTTTGTCTTCAACGGGCTCTCTTCTTCTAATTTTATTTTTCTTAATTTTTGGACGGTTTGGCTTTTTAGCAAAATTGTATAAACAAAATAGTAAATTATCTTAACATGACCTGACAATTAATTATAGAAATACTTTAAATTTTTTAAAGCTTTTCTCCACCACATAATCCTCTTACCCTTTTGGAAAATACTATTTGTACAC